GACGCATTTGCTATTTTCAGGCACCAGGAGGTGCCAGCGAGTGTTCAGTCTAGTTTTTTGTTCAGTCCCTCCCACCCCATGGGGTTTTAAAATGTGTTTTTGTAACAGCGGATGATGTGAATTCCAGCCCTGAGTCCAGGGACAGGCCGCAGGCCCAGCTGTGCCCCGTCCCCTGGGCCGGACCCCTGCTTCCCTGGCTCCCTCCTCTTCCTGGGCGCCGTGTTCCCTGCCCCCCTCGGGCAGGAGGCTTTCCCCCAGGGCCCCGCCCTGAGCGGGGGCCTGGACTCCCTGCAGGCATGTATGTGCCTGTGCCTTTCAGTTCACGCCAGGATTCCGATGACTGGCGAGGGCCTAGTCCTCGACCTTTCCCTGGGGTGTTCGCGTTTTCCAAGGGACACTGCTGGGGCAGAAAGACGGCGAGCTTCTGTCGGGAGCCCTGGGAGTGCCCCTCGGGCGGGGAGTGGAGTGGGGGGGTTCCTGGCCTCCAGCAGCAGCCCTGGGCTCCAGGCCTCGCTTTGGTGCCCCCCCCACCCACACCTGGAGCAGCTCTCGTAACTCCCTGCACCCAGGTCCTCGTTCTCGAGTGTGCGCCGCGTGGGGGCCCTGACTGTCTCACGGGTGGGGATTCTGCGTCCCAAAGGATGAAGTGGAGCTCACCAGGTGCAGAGGGGGTGACAGTGAGCAGCTCATGACACCCCCGTTCTTGCATGGGAGGGGTGGGGCACTGCCTCGGGGCTCTCTCCATGGACGCGGGGTCCTCTCGTTCTTGGCAAGGCCCAGCGGCCCCTTCTGGTGCCTTTGTTCCAGGGCCTAGTGCTGGCTGTGCAGCCGCCTCACCTGCCCCTCGGAAGGCCGTGCACAAGCAGGCTTTTCTCACGTCCCCGCTGAGACAGGGTCCCACTCCTGCACAGCCCACGGGGGCGCGCTCCTCTCTCAGCCCCCACCCGAGGGAGCCCACTATGCTGTCCGGAGTGGGGGCGGGGCAACTCTTGAGCAGACCCACGGGGCGTGTGGCAGATGCGGGGGTCCCAACACCCCACGACGCAGCCCACAGGTCTCCCTGTGTGGGGCAGAGGCCCTGGGCTGCATCCTGGGAAATGCCAGCCTCTTGCCGACTTGTCCCCTGGGCCAGCCCCCAGGAACAGGCGGTCGGAGCACGGGATTTGGAGTTGAGTGTCCACACCCCCACCCACCAGAGGCCGGGGGTCGGAGCGCATCTCTGGTCCGTTTCCTCCGCTGCAACCGGGTGCTGGCGGCACCGGGCCCCCAGCCTCTCTGCTTGCTGCTGAGGCTCAAAGTAAAAGGTGTCTTGTGTCTCATGGGAGACTGTGCTCGTGAAGAGCAGAAAGGCCACAAAATCTACTCCGTCGGGGCCAGTGGGGGTATCTCTGGGAGCCCAGGGCAGCGGTCACCAGCCGTCACCGCCTGCCTCTTTTTTTCTGTACAGCAGCTGCTCCTGGAGGAACTTGGTGTCCCCTCCCCCGACGGCCACCGTGTGAGGTTCAGGGTTGCCGGGGCCAGTCCTGGTCCCCTCCGCACTCAGATGCCCGCCGGTCTCTCAAGGAGGCCCATGAATGGCCGGCATGTCCATTCAGCTGGGGGTGGGGGGCTCAGGCCCCTGGCAACAAGAGGGTGGACAGGAAGGGGCAGGACTCATCACGCAGGTGCAAAGGTGCTGTGAATGTCCAAGAGGAGGACCTGCAGGCCCGAGGGACCATAGCCCAGCGCAATCCCAGGCCTCACTGTCTGAGAAAGACCGGTCCAGGGACACACACTGCGCTCTTTGTCCCTGACATGCCTGTACTGGTCGTGAGACCTTTATAGGTCCTCCTGTGTACCTCAGTTTACCAATGTGAAACATGGGAGGGGGGGTGGATGGATCTGTGTAGTCCACACGGCCTAGGCCCCGCCATCCTCGAAGTGGCCACTGGAGGGCAGCACCTTCCCTACAAACGCGGTGGGCGGCCCAGCCCTCGGACTTGTCCCCGGTAAACGTGGGCTTTCGTTAGGTTTTCACAAAAGGATACCAACGCCGAAGGCCTTCGGGGACGTTTCTGGCATGGAACAGCTGATGGGCGTCTCTGAGGGGCATTATGATTCTCAAACCTTTTCTGAAGTGTTGGAACGGAGAAATTCCCACCCGCGAAGGGGTCTTCCCAGCTCTGCTCGCAGGGCGCCCCGTCCCGGGCCGGGTGGCTTTCGTCCCGCTGACCCCGCGCTTCTGCCCTTCCGGCGGCTGAAGGGACAGATTCTTTCCGTTCTCACCGAGGACTTAGCCGCTGCCTCCCCCCACCTCCTGCATCTCCTGGGAGGAAACTTCTGGAAACTTCTAACTGACTTCAGCAATTCAGTGAAAGACGTGTTCACAATGATAATGTGAAGGAAATTAACATTAGCCCCAGATTAATACCACCTAAAACCTTTTAATTATTTTTCTTGAAATTTTTTCTTTTAGTTTTTGAATTAAATTCATCCAAATTCCTACTTCACTGTGGTTTTTCTTTTTCTTTTTCTTTTTCTTTTTTTTTAAGGTTTTGTTTATTTTTAGAGAGAGGGGAAAAAAGGGAGGGGGAGAGACATCGACATGTGAGAGATACATCGACTGGTTGCCCCTTGCACACCTGGCCCGCAACCCACGCATGTGCCCTGACCGGAAATCTAACCGGTGACGTGACCTTCCGGTTCAAAGGCTGGCACTCAATCCACTGAGCCACACCAGCCAGGGCTTCTCTGTGTGGTTTGTAATGGTGGAAAGTTGAAATCAGAAATCAACAGCAAATAATAGCACAATTAAACAGTAAGAGTTACACTTCCCATAAAAATTATTAAAATGTTCGTTGAAATCCCTGCCTGGTGTGGCTCAGTGGATTGAGAGCCAGGCTGCCAAGTACAAGGTCGCTGGTTCAATTCCCAGTCAGGTCCCCAGTAGGGGGCGCGCGAGAGGCAACCACACTTGGATGTTTCTCTCCCTCCCTCCCCCTCTCTCTAATAATAAAGAAATAAAACCTTTTTTTAAATGTCTATTGATGATTGGACACTCATTTTTCAGCCTTTCAATAAAGTTAAAACAGAACTAATATAATTGACTCCAAAAAAATTGAAAAATCGAAAGGTTAGAAGATTGTAGATCTTTGACCTTCATTCTTTCTTTTATTTTTTTCTTTTTTTACAGAAGCAACACCTTTTCATCATGAAAGTCATAATCTAACCCACTCAGAAAATGATTGTTTAAGTCCTTGGTGTAGAACCTTCCAGATCTCTTTGTACACACACACACACACTCACGCCGGCCTTACCTCCAAACCAGTTCTCTGTAGTCAGACATTTACAAAGTTCACCACTCTTTGTTACTTCAAAGACTGGTAATGAGTAAGCAGAATTAACTAAAATTTACTAAAAAGTGCTAACATTTTTTAAAAGATTTTATTTATTTATTTATTTTTAGAGAGATGGGAAGGAAGGGAGAAAGAGCTGGAGAGAAACACCAGTATGTGAGATACATCAATCAGTTGCCTCTCACACAACCCCCAACTGGGGACCCGGCCCACAACCCAGGCATGTGCCCTGAGTGGGAATTGAACCAGTGACCTTTTGGTTTGCAGGCTCTCAAGCCACTGAGCCACACCAACCAGGTCAAAAGTTCTAGTATTTTATTTATTTATTTATTTATTTGGGAAGGGAGAGGGAGAGAGAGAACATCCATGTGAGAAAGAAACATCAATTGTTTGCCTATCCTAGGCACCCCGACATGTGCCCTGACCAGGAACCGAACCGGCGAATGTTCACTTTGCAGGACAACGCCCACTTAACTGAGCCACACTGGTCAGGGTAAAAGTTCTAACATTTTAATAGAACTTTTTTTACCCTCCAGTGTCACAGGTTGGACGGTCATTTTCTTGGACACATCCCTGGGTGCCTGTCTTCTTTCTCCTTCTGAGCAGGGGGGCTCGCTGCCCTTCACCTCCTCCGTCTCCAAAGGGTCTCCAGCGGCCACACAGGAGCAGGCCCAAGGCCTCTGCCCGCCCTGCCCCGCCCCCAGGGCCCCTGGACAGCGATAGGCTAGTGAGTGGTAGAACCAGCACCTGAGCCTGGGTCTAGTGACCACAAGGCCGGACCCGCCCTGCTCCGCCTCTCCCGGGAGCCGACCCTTACCCTCCTCCCTTACTCACCAGGCATGATCTGTACTGCAACCTCCCCACCCCGGCGAGTTCCCAAGTACGAATCCCTTTCCTTTTTACTTCGTAATCCTCACCCAAGGACGTGCTTATTGATTTTAGAGAGAGGGGAAGACGGGGTGGGGGACGGGAGAGAGAGAGAGAGAAATATCCACGGGAGAGTGAAACATGGGTCAGCTGCCTCCTGTAGGCACCCCGACTGGGGATTGAACTTGCAACCTGGGCACGTGCCCTGAGCAGGGATCGAACCAACAGCGTTATGGTGCACAGGACAACGCTCCAACCAGCTGAGACACCTGGCCAGGGCTCTTTCCTTTTTCTCAATCTTGGTCCTGGCAGTCCCTCCCAGCTCGACCTCTTGGGGTGGGACGAGGAAGGGATATTTGAAATATTACAAAGGAAGAGAAAAGAGACGTTTTCAAATGACCGATTTCCAGAGTTATTTATTACATCGAATGACATGATTGCATCTAATGCTACAAGGCAGTTTGGGCTGGCTGGTGATTTACAAAGACCAACGTGTGTGATTTCACAGGAGGAGAGTTGGTCCTTCAAACGTCTTCTCCAGTCAGCTGCCACTGGTGGTGTCTGACTCCAATCCCTTCTCATACACGTAACTGTCTCACTTCCTTGCATGGCTGATGGTTTCCACTGGTTTAATCCGAAATTCACCAGGTGCCTCGCCTCGGGGGGGGCGGGGGGGGGGAGCGGTGCGATGCTGCAAACAGAGCCGGGAGCCAGGGCGGGGCGCGGGCTGGGGGGGGCGGGGGGGCGCCTCTTCCTGCAGCAGCTCGCACTGCCGACTCAGTAGTGATTACTCGCTCTCTAGGCCTTCTTCTGGTCCACATATTTTCTCAGGTACTCGAGGTTCCTGTTGATCTTGCCTAGGTAAAAGTAGAGCTCAGAGTCTAGAAAACGTTCAATAAAAAGAAGAGGTCGCAGAAAGAGTCACAACATTGGAGGCTCTCACGACCACAGAACGTGGGGCAGCCAGACACCCGCCCCACACGTGGATTCGAGGGAAGCATGCGTGAGTCCTCAGAATGCCCGCATGTCCATCCGATCGGCTTGCAGGCATCTTCACTGTGTCGGAATTTAGGCTTGCAAACTGCCAAGACCCAGGGGCGACATGTGGCAGGTGGTTCTACTCTTGCACCTTAGCTTCAAAGGTGATGCTCAGTAGCCCTTCCTTACCTTAGAACACACGGGTGTTTTCTAATAAATAAATTGCTAGAGGCCTGTATTTGGCCTTTGTCTTGATTTCCCAGTTGACCTGGGTCCCTCAGGGCATTCCTCACTGATGGGCTGGCCGTGTTGTAGAACTAAGAGGTACGGAACAGGGAGGTAGCACGTGAGTCAGCTGGAGCCTGGAGCCTGGGCCCGAGGGCAGGCAGGTGGAGGGGGTGATGCCAAGTTCCCTCTTGTGTTATCAGCGAGGGGTCGCTCGGATCCCTCGGCTGGGGGGCGGGGAGGAGCCCTCTTCCTGTCGACTGTGAGTGACAGGAACAGCCCTACACAGTGAGACTCGGAAGGCCCCCAGTGGACCTGCAGCAGCCCGTGGCTCAGAGCACTGCAGCCTGAGGGGTACCGGGATTTGGAACAGCTGAGCTCCTTCGTGAGGGGAGTCAGAGGGATGCCCACCCCCGCCATCACCACGCGGAAAAAGCACGTGAGGTGTGGCACGTGGGAAACCACGCAATCTGTGCCTGTTGCAAGGATAGCGTACGGTTTTATTTGGGAAACCGGGGCAATGTGGGCCGATTGGAACAAGGAGACGGATGGAGTCTAAGCTCTCTCTGGCTAGTTACTGCCACTATCATATATAGTACAATATGGGGGACTGTCTAAATTGAATTTACTGGAGTGACGTTGGTTAATACAATTATATAAGTTTCAGGGGTACGATTCTAAAATATAACATCTGTATATTGTGTTATGCGTTCTTCACCCCAAGTCAAGTTTCCTTCTACCCCCCCTTCCTATCCCCCCCTTTATCCCCCCTTTACCCTCTTCCACCCCCCCACCCCCTTTCCCTCTGGTAATCACCAGTATGGGGAAATTATCATTATAATTATAGCCAGTATCACTTTTTTCCTTAGCATTGCACTGGAGGAGCAAATTGGTGCAAAGGGAAAACCATAAAGGAACCCTGGAAGGACACGGGAAGGAAAGGGCAATGGGCCTTTATTTTGGGGGGGCTTATGCATGGAGACTTAAAAATCTTGAGAGAGATATATAAAGGCAAGGAAATAGCGATTGGAGACCAGTTCCATTGGGCCAGAGGATGCGAAGATGTAGGGAATGGTAAATAGAGAGAGATTGCAAAGACACAGAAGCAGAAAAACAGATGGGAGAATTCCAGAGTATCTACGTTCTTAAACCCACAGAAGGGGGGCAAGCCGAGAACACAGCTGGAGCCTGACGCAGTGGGTTAGCGGTTCCAGAGGACACTGGACTGCCTGCCCCTGCAGCCAGCGCCCGGGTGCCAGGGCCTGACCCCCGAGAACACGTGGTTAACCCTCCCTTGAGGGAACATGTAGGAGGAGTTGCAATGAGCTTGGGCTATAGGTCAAGATAAAGGTGCGTGGGAAATCATTGGAGTCGGGTTAAGTAAGGTGGACGTGAGCCTACACTACTGAGGACGTGTCGGGTATTGCTGACCTCCTGCTTCCCCTGCTACCTTCAGCCAGGCCCCGCGGGCAGTGAATCACGTAGTCAGTCATCCACCCTCATTGCCTCCTCCGTTCTACTCACTAGCATCGCTGCTGCCCGCACTGGGAAAGTGAGTCATCCCCTGGGCCGAGCCCTGGGCGGATTGGTCCTGCTGCTGAGATGACCCTCCTCCCCTTTCTGTTGCCGGGAGAGACGGGTCCACCAGAGAGGGAAGAAGACAGGAGTCAACCAGCTGCAAGAAGCAAACGAGTTGATCTCACCAGGATTAGGCTGATACTTGAAGTTGGCTTCCACCACTCTGCCGTCCAGGGGCTGGGTCCTGCGGTAATTGTTCTGCATGACCTTGTGCTGGTGGTTCAGTAAGGAGGTCTCAAGCTTCCCGATCTGCCGGCGACAGGAAGGGAGTTATGGAGAGGAGGAGACACTGGGAGATGTAAACGGGTCTAGTTAGACAGGGAACTAGATCGTGGCTGATGGACTCGGATAAAGCAGCTGGGAGATCTCAAGGCCAGAGGAGGTGTTTGGGTAAGACACGTCAGGTAGGGGATAGTCACCCATTTGTTCTTCCAAAAATTTCTTTTCATCTTTTTTTTTATGAGTAGTTGGTCAACAGTAGAAAGGAGAGAAAGAAGTCAACAGAGACATACCAAGTAGCATGCTCGATTGTTATTTTTCTAAAAATATCTATATATTTTGTCAATGTCCACTGACAGGCACTTTTGCTGCATGTATAATTCTAGATCTGCTCCTCATTTCTCCTGGTGCTTTAAAAGTATGATTCGCTGCTTTCTGACCTCACTGTTGCTGTGTTGAGTCAACTCTCAGACTATCATTAAAAGATCATCAGTTCTCTCTGGCTGATTTGTAAACTTTATCTTTGATTTTTTGTGTGTGCGGTTTCACTGTGGTATGTTTAATGTGTTGTTGTTGTTGTTGTTTTAATTTACATCAACTCATTGGGCTTACTGAATATACGACTTGGTGTCTTCCGGCTATTCAGAAAATTTGTCAGCCCATATTTCTCAAATTGTATCTTTTCTCTATGCTACTTCTATTCTCCTAGAACTTCAACCAAATATTTGTTAGATCTCTCCACTATATTCTCTGTGTTTTTTTACTTCTTTTTCATATTTTCATCTCTTTTTCTCTTTGTGCTTCCTTTCAGATCATTTTCTCAGCTCTGTCTTCCAGTTCACTAATTCTTTCTTGAACCGTGTCTAAGATGCTATTAACGCCATTCATCGCGTGGCCAAGTCACTGGGGAGGTGGTATCTGGGGCCCTTGCAGCCTGGCTGGCAGCCTCTTCATGTGTGGGGACCCTTGTGTGTGTGGGTCTCCCCACCTTCCCCTGGGGCAGGGAAGTGAGAAGTCTACGAAAAGGAAATCTTTCTTCCTGAGGAAGAATACCACCCAGCAGGAAATGCCAGCTTTGCTTTGCAAGCTCCACACACCGGTCCTTTTTCACCCAACAGACGTTCCGTGCCCGTGCTGGGCTGGAGGGCAGAGACACCTGATGCCACTCTTCTCCCGAGAAGGCTCAGGCACTTGTTTCAGCATGGCACAGACCAAAACGCCAGCTGTCCTTCCTGCATGAAGCCACTTATGAGGTTAGAGTGTGAGCTCCATGAGGACAGGGGGTTGTGTTGCCAGGGCCTCTGAGAGCACACTCAGTAACTGCTCACCTTCCCTGCGCAACCCCCTCCGCTGACCTGGATCAGGCTCCCTGCTTTTGCTGCATCAACTATGTTGCCTCGGACCCTGAGATGCCTGCCTACCCATCTCTGCCACCACACTAATAAGATCACCGTGGCAACACAGGTGAGACTGTGCAGCCCTGTCCATAGACGGCGCCCTAGGCACCCAGGTGTTAGGCATTAGGTGGGATTGCGGGGGCCTCTTGTCCATCAGACGGCCGAAAGGGGAGGCTTGGGGGAGGTGATGCATTACCTGTGCCCTGGACAAAGGGACCGTGTCCGCCAGCAGGAACCACTGGACGTTCTCAGTACAGGGAGGAGTGGTGAGTGAGCCCTGGTAGGTGTAGTAGTGCTGGAGGTTTTGGGGCAGCATGTCCCGGATGTGAAGGCCACTTAGAACTGTGCTTTCTCCTATCAGAGGGAACAATAGATAAAAAACTGTTAGAGACTGCAGCTGCCCCTCGGGAAGCCAGCTCAGCTCACCGCCACGTGCAAATCTCCTGACTTAGGCAGAAGAACACAGAAGCTGGTTACTGGGGGACATTTCCCCAGTTTTCTGCTTCCCAGAAGGGGCGAAGAGCGAAGGCTTTGCAGAGGGACCCGCGCAGCCACCTCCTCCTGGCTGAGTGGCCCTGGCCAGGTGCGCAGCCCTGCAAGGCTCCCTCCTGGTCTGTGACAGGGGAGGGCCGGCAGGACCGCCATGGGGGTGAAGGGGGACGAGTTCATGAAGAGCTGGTGAGGGGCCGGCACCCAGGGCAGGACCTGTGAGTGTAGTTGTCGTCGTCGTCGTCATTGTGAGGCCAAGGGTACGTCTCACGATAAACGGAAGAAATTGAGGATGACTCCCAGAGGCTTCTGGGCAAGCATCCTTGGGAGAACAAAATTCCTGGGTTTGGATTTATTGAGAAGTGGATGGATAGAGATTAGAAAGGCAGAATCAGAGCCAAGCCGGGGCCAGGGGCCAGGTTCTGGGGTCCGGGTTCAGGCCTCTGGTCCTGAGCTCCCCTTGCCACGCCCTTTGGGAGCCACGCTGAGCCTGAGCCGCAGGCACGGGGTGGGAGAGGGGTGCGGCAGGTGTCTGAGGCCTCCCCAGCCCCTCCCCCCCATCGCCGCATCTGCAAATTTCCCCCATTGGCCACGGCAGTCCCATGAGGCTCGCAAAGTAACGTGGAGTTGAGTTGAGTTTTGTTTCCCTTTCTCCGAGCACTTTGGCACTTTTTAAGGGCAAAGAGGGTACCGTTTCGACACAGGCATCAACAGGCCTTGTTTAGCCAAAGCCGGGAAGTCTAGTGGTGCAGATCCCATGAGTAAGCAAGAGATTGCTGTTCTACTGTTCTTGGAAAGATTTCAAAACACAACCTTCTGAAGGGCTCGATCACATAGATTTAGCTTCACAACGCTGTCATTTTTAAGTGGGTCAAGAATTCCAGAGCCGCTCCGCAGCTGCTGTGGAATTATGGCGGTTCCTTCAAAAATCACACACGGAGTTACTGTGTAATCCAGCAACTCCTCTTCTTGGGGGTACACCCGGAAGGACGGGCGGCAGAAGGGTGAGAACCACGGCCTGGCCTCGGGTTGGATGTGGGGAGTCACGGGGAGAGGGAAATCAAGACTCGTTCCAGGATGGGGGGGCTTGGACAGCGGGACAGAGGACGTCCTTTGCTGAGAGGAGAAAGTCCCTCAGAAACAAGCCGGGAAAGAGACGGCGGTGCAGGGTGATGTGCGGGCCGGGCTGAGTTTTAGGTCTGCGTGGCAGTGTCAAATAACCCGTCGGGAAAAGGAGGCGGAGTCCAGAAAGAGGCGGGGCTGTGGGCAGTGCGGAGCTGGGGCAGAGGCTGCTGAACTGGAGGAGGCCCTGGGCCCGGGGCAGTCCGCAGAAGTGCACTGTGTGAGGTCAGTGGGCTTCAGGAAGCGTCTTCGTTGTCCTCCAGGCCAGTGGGTTCTCCTGCTGGCTCTGGTCTCAGTCAGCACATCGGCCAGAGGGTCGTGCGTCCCCCTCGCCTCGCCGGGCCTGCCCGATACCATCACCGTATCACTGTATCTGGGGGGGACCAGATACAGGCGTGTGGAGTCCACAGCCTGGAGGTGGCAGTTCAGGCCATAGACCTGAACCAGGGTCCGAGGAAAGACGGGCTGAGCCCCCTCCGACATCGACATCGGAGAGGGCGCCAGGGAAAGAGCAGCAGTGGGGGCGGGGCCAGAAGGAGAGTCCTGTGCAACGGGTCTTGGTTTCAAGGTCAGTTAAGAGAAGAGAAGGAAACGGGCCAGGAGACCTGACCACGGGGGAGACCTGCAAGGCTCTGCAGAGTGTGGGGGTGCCGGGGGACGGTGGGTGAGAAAGAGAACTGTTGGAAGGGGGCTGTTTGAGGAGCCAGTCCGTGGGACGGCGGGGCCGAGAGACACTTCTGTTTGCCTGCGTCGTGGGGCGGGCGGTACCGCAGCTGAGCCGTGTGCCAAGCGGACTGACGCCCTGAAGGTGAGAAGTCAGTGAGATTTCTCTGCAGGAGAGAAGGGTCAGGGGCCGGAGGGCCGACCCTGAGCACGAGGGGCGCGCTCCCGTGGAGGCGGTGTTGGGCCAGATCAGGGACTTCTCCCTGGTCAGAGACTGGGAGCTGGAGTGGGGCAGGGGCGGGCAGGCTGGCAGAGAAGAGGGGTCTCCTCTCCATGAAGAGGCAAGGCAGTGTCTGCTTCTAGGAGCAGCTGAGGCCAGGGCAGCGGGGGGCGGGGCCTCTTCAGGACAGAAGAGAAAAGGCGGGGTGGTAATTCTGGAGAGGGAAAAGCAAGCGCCCACAGTAGCACTGTATCTTAAGATTTTCCGGCCGTGTCAGTGCCTGTTCATATTTGTAGTTATGAATAAAAGTAGTGGCAGTCAGATGTCTGTGTTTCTGTCCAGCCACATGCAGTCACCTGACTCGGGCTGGGAGCTGGTCTGGGACTTTGGCAGGCCACCTGGCGGAGGGGTGGAGGGGCGGAGGGGCGCGGGTGCCCACCTGGGCTCATCAGACTGATGGCCTGTGGAATCTAAGCTCCATAGTGAGAGGTGAGAGGCGTGACTGGTCGTGAGGACCTCAGGCCCCTGGATTGGAGGTCAGGAGAACTGGGGGAGGGGCAAGAACAGAAGTCTGGGAACTGGAGTCTGGGAGGTGTGGCCAAAAATGGCAGGCTCCAAACCTGACCTCAAAGCTGACAGTGCTTACTGCTCAAGGTCAAGGGCTGACCATGGGAGCAGGCGATGCCTCTGGCAAGAACTGGCCTTCTGGAGGAGGCCAAGGGAAGGAAGACCCGCCCCCCACCCCGTGATTCTTCTCAACTTGAAGCTAAGGAGGGCCTCTCTCTAGGGACCTGGGTCCTCACACCAGCAGGGGCCAGAGGTGAGAGTCCCTTCAGACAACTCTGGCCGTCCGGAAGTTCCAGCTGTGGGAACCCACAGGCAGGGTTCGTGAACAGGCTTCTCTGCGGCGTTGGAGGCCTGAGCCCGCAGCGGACCTTGCTGGAAACACAGACCTCGCCGGGGGAGGGGTGCACACTCCTCGCAGGGCTTATCCGCCGGCCTCCCCAGCAGCGCCCCCCTTCCCTGCCCCCCTGTCGCCCCCTTACGCTCATTCCTCTTCCCTCCCGCAGCCGCTGTTGGCTTCCCTCACCTGAATTCGTGACGTTCTTCAGGTGAGAAAGGAGGTCGCTGTAGTAAGTGTTTTCGGTGTGCTCCTTGACCTGCAGGAGAAACACGGAGCGCTCCGTAAGTGGGAAGAGACTGCCGGCCCGTCCGCATGGGCCCAGCTCTCTCTCGGAGGGCTGGCTGGCCGGCTGGGCACAGCCTCAAGGGCGGGCAGGAGGCAGCCCTGGCTGTCCTTTGCCACCGAGTGCCTGGGCTTACCAGTCTCTTCCAGGGAGACAAGCCCTGAATCCTTTTGGCAACTTCTTGGTGACAGAGGATATCCTCAAGGAGTGGCCAAAAGTCACTGTAAGATTTCCCTGGGGTGGGGGGGGGACCCTGTCGGGACTCCACTGCCCCGGTCCCGCCCACTGCCAGGTCTCTCTCCCTGTCCTGTTTGAGCGTCAGTGTCTTAAAAGTCAGGAAAGTTGCTCTTCGTGAAGAAGGTCTCTTTTCCAAGGTCCCCTTCGGTCAGGGGGGCTGGTCCAGTGCTCCTTCCACTGTGAGTGAATTCAGATTTCTGGGATCTATAATCGCCGTCTGCCGTTTGTTTTCTAGAGGTGTCGTGTCTGTTTATTTTGTTCCTCTGTGCCACCTTCGTGTTCGACAAACACTCAGCGTACCGTCCGACCACGGCAGTTATCTTCTGAGTGGTCGCTGCAGTGATTACCATGCACCACCTAACGGAGGTCGATACTGACTTAATTCCAGTAAAACACGCAACTTTGCTCCAATACAGCTCCATGTCTTCCTCACCGTTTGCTATCTATAATTATATATAGGTATACATATATATACCCAGTACTACAGTGGTATTATTATTGCTTCAGGCTGTCTTGTAGGGGGCGGTTAGACAAAAGGTAGTATGCGTAGATGACCTCGTGTATTTGCCCCCTGGGCCACCACTCCTGGTCCGCTGCCTTCTCTCTGTGGACCTGAGCTACTGTCCGGTGTCATCACCTGTCAGCCAGAAGGACTTCCTTTCGTACTCCTCGTAACACAGGTCTGCTAGCAGGGACCTCCCTTTCTGTTCATCTGGGAATGTCTTTATTTTGCCTTATTTTCGAAGGGTGGTTCGGTGGGATATCGGCTGCCTGGTCGACGCCCCTTCCACTGCGCTCGGATGACGTGTCTCTAATGAGAAATCAGCCACTAGCTGTACTGCCAGACCGTAAGCATAACACATGCTTTTTCTCTTGTCGCTTTCAGCAGTTCCACGTCGATGGGTATGGCTGGTCATCAGACATGGGGTTGTTCGGTGTCTTGGACTGGTAGATTAATGTTTTTCCTCCGTTGGGAGAATTGGGAGCTATTGCTTCTTCATTTTTTTTTCCTGCCACTTTCTCTCCTTTGCTCCTGGGACCCCCGTTTCATGGATGTCGGGGTGTGGGACCTTGTCCCCATGAATCTCTGAGGCCACAGTTGTTTCTCTTCAGTCTTGTCTCCTTTGTTCTTCGAGTTGAGTAGTTTATTTGACCTGCTTCAGATGCACTGGTTCTTCCTTTTCCTGCCTCCAGTCTGCTTCGAGCTCATGCCATGAATGTTTCCATGTTATTACGCTTTTCAGCTCGAGACTTCCACGTGGTGCATTGTTCTAGTTCCTGTTTCTCTTCTGAAGGGTCTGATTTTGGGTCATTGTCTTCATATTTTCCTTTAACTCTTTGAAAGTAGTCTTTTTTTAAATTTTCTTTTTTAGATTTTATTTATTTGTCTTTAGAAGCAAGAGAGGGAGAGAAATATCAATGTGTGGTTGCCTCTCACATGCCCCGCATGGGGGACCTGGCCCACAACCCAGGCATGCGCCCTGACTGGGAACTGAACCAGTGACCTTTTGGTTCACAAACCGGCGCTCAGTCCACTGAGCCACACCAGCCAGGGCACAACAGTTGTTTCAAAGTGCCATCTGAGAGCCCTGGTCGCCGTGGATCAGTTGGCTGGAGCATCACCCCGTAGACTTCAAGGTGATGGGTTTGATTGCCAGTCAGGGCGCATGTCCAAAGTGAGGATTCGGTCCCCAGTTGGTCGGGGAGCAAAGGAGAGGCAACTGGTCAGTGTTTCTCTCTCACATCGATGTTTCTCTCCCTCTCTCTCTCCCTCCCCACCCCTTTCTCTCAAAATAAATAAGCATTTCCCCAGGTGAGGATAAAAAAAATACTGTCCGCTGAATCACTCCGGGTCGACACAGAGTCCATTTCTATGGACTGCTTTTGTTTTCTCCTAAATATGGATCACGTTTTCCTATTTCTTTGCATGCCCAACTTTTCTGTTGAAAACGGGACACTTTTAGGTGAGATCTGCTAGCAGACATGAATCCTGATTTTTAAAACTCATGCCGAGGGGTTCGTGTGTGCCCGTTCAGTAACCGGCCTGGGGTTCACCCGCAGGGTGTGTCTCCCACGGCACGGGGCCGCTGATGTCTCTGCTCTGCTCCGTTTTTTACTTTCTTTTTTTTTTTTTTTATCTTCCCAAAGTACATTTTTCCATCCAAATCCTAATTTCGAATTCTAAATGGGGCTGATATCACACAAGAGAATGTATAATGCTAGGGTGGGCATTTCATGGAATTGTTTCTAGTCTTTTTTTTTTTAAGGGTTTTACTTATTTATTTTTAGGCAGAGGGGAACGGAGGGAGAGAGGGAGAGAAACATCGATGTGTGGTTGCCCCTTGTGTGCCCCCAACTGGGGACCTGGTCCACAACCCAGGCATGTGCCCTGGCTGGGAATCGAACCTGTGACACTTTGGTTCGCACGCCGGTTCTCAATCCACTGAGCCACACCAGCCAGGGCTTGTTTTTGTTTTTCTTAAAGCAACAGAAAGTTACTCTCTCACCGTCCCAGAGTCACGGTGCCAGCCTGGCCAGGCACCCGGGGAAGGCTAGGGGCGGGGGGATCCCTCCTCGCCTCTCCCAGCTTCTGGAGGTCGTCAGTGACCCCCGGCGCTCTCAGCCAGCAGGGGCATCGCTCCAGCCCCACTTCTGTCCTCACGCGGCCCAGGTGGTCTGTCTCTGCTCAGTTCTTACCGATTCTTGTTCTTTTTCAGCCCGGATTCCGAGGGGCCACCGAGGGGCGGCAGAGCTCGGCGGCCAGTCCGCGCTGCTGGAGACGCCGGGCTCCAGGGCCCGCCGTCCCGCAGACGTGCGCGCCCGCGGACGGATCTGGGTGAGAGGGGCCAGGGGCGCCTGCAGGTCCAGCCGGTCGTCAAGTTGGCTTCACCTTTGACCTCCCCCCTCTGGGGAAGCCTGTAGGTCCTCCGCGGCCCTCTCGCTGCCGGAATCTCTTCCATACGCTTCTTGCTGGTCTGCCACTTGCCACGCACCCCGGCTGGGGTGAGCCTCAGACCACCAGAGGTGGAGTGTTCCCTCTGTGTTCCGTCAGGGTCGCTGCTTTTACTGACGGTGCCCCCCCCCCCACCATGGGTTTTCAGCTGATCCCCCAAATCCGGTCCTTCGCTACCCCGGGCAGTGAAGCTGCCAGCATCCTGCCCAGCGCCCCCCCCCCCCCACCAAGAGACCCATGCTGGCCGAGTTGGGGTGTGGGGGCGGCACCAGCCTGCGGGGCGAGAAGGCCGAAGACTACCACTGTTCTCACTCGAAGTCCAGCTGTTTTGCACAGATAAATGCCTGCACTTGTTGTTTGCCTCAGAACACTCTGAGGTTGTTTGTGACAGTTTTACCCAACTTAACACTCGTGGGGGGGGGGGGATTGGACTCAGTGACCAGCCCCCCAGCCGTAGTGCCACCCTCCAGGCTTCCCCCTCCCCTCAGACCACGCGATGTCCATCAACCCTTCTGTGGCCCCAGCTCTTCTAAGTCAGCTTGCCCGAGGTCTCTGAGTGTGGTAACCCCAAGGAATGTGGGCTGGGAAAGGGTGAACCTTCCAGAAGCGGCGTGTGCACGGAGCGTGAGCTCAGACACAGGAGGGAGGGGACAGGAAGGAAGGCCCCTCGGCTCCTACACCGAAGGCCTTGTGTGGGCGCCAGGGCGCCACCCCGCCCGCGGGGGCTCTGCCTACCTCCACCAGGGCTGCCAGCACGGCCAGGCCGTCCGGGGCGCTCTCGGCGAGGTCGTAGCTGCCGTACTTAGAATTGTAGTGGACCACGTGAATCTGTGGGGGCAAGAGAGGTGAGTTGGGCAGTTCCTGTGGACTTTGGCCACTGTTCGCGGAAGGAGGAGAACAGAGAGGCTCCATCGGAGCCCTCAGGCCACCCTTTCCCTCCGCCTAGGCCACAGCCTCTGTCAAGACTAGAAAGTTCTCCAGGAACAGAAAGAGTGTGAATGGTGTCTGGGAATATCGCAATTCAAGGGCATGTCCCCGGCCGCACCTCCCTCCAGGTGGACCAGCTGGCGGAGTCCAGATGACCACAGGAGGCTCCGGGGTTCTCCTGAGGTCCCCGTGGAGTGGACATGAGCCCCTTGCCCCACGAGGCCGCTGTGGACCTGTGATCATCCTAAGGACAGATCTGAGCAAGAGAGGGAACCTGCAAAACCTGACAGGTAGAGACCTCTCTGCAGGTGAAGGGGACTTGCCCGGCTGTGGGCGGGGGTGCTCTCCCGCCCCACTGTGACCTCTGCGAGGGCCGGCCCCTGCCTGCACCGGGCACACAGCAGTGATCAGTGAGGAGTTGTGAATGAATGAAAAACAAATTTGGCCTCGGGGGACATGACGTCACCTCCATGCAAAGTCTGTGTGGCCGTTTTAATGAGAAGAGTGTTTGCAGAAAGCGGACCCCGCGGGGGTCCTCCCGGTACCTCTGCCACGTATCTGAGCCCGTCGATGGTGTGCTCTGAGCCGCTGATGCCGGAGGGCCCGCCGCCCCAGTGGAAGTGCATCTGCCGGGCCAGGTACTCCGTGCCGTCGGGGGCTGTCATGCGCATGGTGGGGGGCAGGCTGATCTTCACTGGGAGGGAAGATGAGGGGCAACAAGGGGCGTGGGTGGGCGTGGGTGGGCCGGGCCTGCTGTCTAGGCAGCCTCCCTGGTCCCCCGCTCGCTCCTGGGACATGAGCAGGTCGGCCATGGGAAGGGGGCGGCTGGCACCCAGGGCGGCATGGGGACCAGGCACTGAGTCAGCGGGGCTGAGCAGGCGCCTCTCCCTCTCCCAGGGTGCCCACCTGCCCACCCTGACCCGGAAGGGCAGGAGCAGGACCGCAAAGTAGCAGATGTAGCTTGCTGGCCCCAGGGAAGGCCGAGGCCCTGAAATACCGTGGCCAGTGGGTGTGCAAACCAGAGTCTCACTCTCCACCCCTGGCCGTTTTGGAACTCGCCTGGGGTGCAAGGAGAGGGGGGTGGCGTCTCTGGGACTAGTTGATTCCTTTTACTCCCCAGAGTGAGCACCCTCGGTCAGGCTCTGGGCCAGGAGCTGGGACGGGCCAGTCAGTGAGCCATGGTCCCTCCTCCGAGGAGCCCACGCATGGAGGGGCCGACAGCACCTCTCGAGGGAACGGTGTGGTCAGTCTCACTGACCACTGAAAGTCCAGTGCCTCAGGCCCGTGAGCTTTCCTGGAGTCTATGAATAGGCATTTGGGAGCATTGAAAATATGTCTATTAGTCAGTATTGCTCCACCAACTGTCACTAATCTACAACAAAATAGAGAAATTGTGAATAAGCTTAAGAAACTTTTGTAGCAATTTGTCTCAACATCTAGGTGTGTTCTCAGTTTCTTTTTATTGAAATGTAAGTTATGTCCGTTTAATATAATATAAACGGGGCACATAAAACTATAAAGTAGAATTTGAAATGGAAAATGCAATGCCGTTCACATGAGCAACCCCCAAAATTAAATATTTAGGCAGAAATCTAACAAAATACATACTAGAGCTATGTGAGGAAAATTACTAAAATCTGATGAAAGAAATCTAAGAACTAAATAAATGGAGGGATATTGCATGTTCTTGGATGAGAAGATCTAATATTGCCAAGATATCAATTCTTCTCAACTTGATCTGTAGACTCAGTGAAATCCCACTCAAAATCCCAGCAAGGAATGTTGTGGACATCAACTGGACACCCACCGACTGATTCCAAGTTCACACGAAGAGGCAAAAGACCCCGCACAGCCAGCCTCACACTGAACAGGAAGGAGCAACGTCAGGGTGCTGACATTCCCTGACTCCCGGACCCACCGCGAAGCCACCCACTCGGGACAGTGTGGAGCCGTCCGAAGAGCAGACACACACGTCAGTGGGACAGAACAGAAAGCCCAGAAATGGACCCATGGAGACACAGTCGACTGATCTTTGGCCAGCGGGCAAAGGCAACGCAATGGAGCAGAGACAGATTCTTCAACAAGTGGTGGTCGAACACTGGACACCCAGATGACAAAGAGTGAATCTAGACACAGGCTTCGCACCCTTCGCCAACATTAACTCCAGATGGATCACAGGCCTAAGTGTAGAACGCAGAACTACATGCAACTCCTGGGAGACAACGTCAGAGAAGACCTAGATGACCACGGGTGTGGTGATGACTTTCTAACTACAGCATTCATCATAACTTGATTAATGGAAGAAATAGTTGATAAGCTGGACTTCATTAAAACTTAACACTTCTGCAAAAGATAGCATCAAAACAATCGGAAAACAAGCCATGGGTTGAGAGGAAATAGTTGCAAACCGCACATCCAGTAAAGGACTGTTGTGCAGAATGTACAATGGGCTCTTTCAACCCAACAGTGAGAAAGCGAAGGACCTGCTTAGAAGGTGGGCCGGAGATCTTACTGGACACCTCACTGAATAAATACACAGACGGCAGGAAGCATATGAGATGATGCTTCACACGTCCCATGTCGCCAGGGAAATGCAAATTAAAACAACGACGAGACTCCGCTGCACACCTGTTAGAACGGCCAAAGTCCGGAACTCTGACAACCCCAAGTGCGGACGAGGACACGGAGCGGCAGGAATCGCACTCGCTGCCGGAGGGAATGCAAGGCGGGGCAGCCGCTTTGGGAGACAGTTTGGCAGTTTTGCACAAAACTGAACATACTCTCACCGTGCGGTCCAGCAGTCACACTTCCTGATGTCCACCCAAAGACGCTGAAAGCTCACGTCCACACAAATCCTGCACACGGATGTTTATAGCGGCTTTATTCATAATCGCCAAAACCTGGAAGCGACCGAGCTGTCCTTGGGTCGCTGATGAGTAAGTGACCCTCAGAGCATCCAGACAGCAGGGTACTAATTAACGCTCAGAAGAAATGCGCTATCACGCCATGAAAAGGCAGGGAGAAACCTTCGATGCACGTTGCTAAGTGAAAGAAGCCAGTTTGAAAAGCTACATACTGTGTCATTCCCACTCTGCGACATTCTGGAAAAGGCCAAACTTTGGAGACAGCAGAAAGGTCACTGGTTGCCAGGGGTGGGGGTGGAAGGAGACATGAATCGCCAGGGCAGAGAGAATAACTGGGTGGGGGGGGGGAATACTCTGTGTGACATCACAGTGATGAACACATGTCATTACATGCGTGTCCGGCCCATAGAATCCACAGAGTGTGCAACCCCAGGAGTGAACCCTAAGGGAAACTGTGGATGTTGGGTCATAATGATGTGTCAATGTAGGTTCAGCCTTGGTTAAAAAACAAAGTACCCTTTTGGGGGGTCCCATTCACGACGGGATAAGCTGTGCATGCAGGGAGTAGTTGAGAGATGGCTGTACTTTCTGCTCAATTTCCCTGTGAACCTAAACTGCTCTAAAAAACTAAAGCCCACTGTCCTGACCAGTGTGGCTCAGTTGGTTGGGCTTTGTCCTGTGAAGTGAAAGGTCGCCAGTTCGATTCCCAGTCCGGGCTTGTGCCTAGGTTGCAGGTTCAGTCCCCGGTTGGGAGAGGCAACTGATCGATGTTTCTCTCCCACTCTTTCTCCCTTTCTTCCCCTTTCTCTAAAAATAAATAAAATATTTTAAAAAATAAAGTCTTTAAATATATATTATAGAATATATAAATAGGTAAATAAGTATATATTTATATCTTAGGTTTCAAAATACTAAAATAACCCTGCAAAATCAAAATTAACAAATGTTTATTTACGTCATGTCAACTTCACTATTAAACTTGCTCTTCATCAAAATGCCATTAGACTTGAACATTTGTAGATTAGGGTTTCTTCCTTCAGTAGAATTCCTGAGCGTGCATGGAGCTTGCTGAAAATGTGTAGCCACTTGGAAAGAGTAGCCAAATCATCTCCAAGGCTAAATTATAATAATCTTTCAAAAGACATTAAAAAGTATGAGTAACGTGGACCGTGAATGTTTTCTGTTTGATGTGCTGCTGTGGGGTGGGGTGGGCTGGGAACCCCCAAAGGAAGCGGCTTCTGGCCCCCACAGTGTTCTGTGAACATGAAGCACGGATTTGACAGCTGTCCAGTCCAGCTTTCTGAAGCGGGGACCGGCTTTTCCTGTCTGACCTTCACCCCCTTTCTCAGAGGGAACGGAAGAGGAGAGCTGCTTTGGAACCTCCTGGAAACACTGCGCCCACCTGCTGGGCACTCGGAGCCCATCACGCTCAGCGGAAGAGGAACCGGAAAACCAGAGGGGGTCACACATCAGCAGACCACACAGGTGGGCCGGCCGCGTGGCCTCACAGCAGCACTGCCACTTCACTGACTTTGCCTCTGGCTGGGTCAGAGTGCGCTCAGGACCGGCCAATGGGGACTGGAGGAACCGGGGGGCGGGGGGGCGGGGGGACTGAGTCCGACCACAGAGGCTGCGCAGCTTCTCAAGAGCCGCCTCCTTTCAGGGCCTTAACGCCGGTCAGCCCTCCAGCCCCCTGGCTGCACGCACTGGACCCCGGGCTGACCACCCGCCCCTTACCTGTGTGGCCGTTGTTGGTTACGGGGAACTCAACCCCCTGGGCCTCGTAGCCAGTCAGGTTCAGAGCCTTCAGGGAGGGGTTGTACTGCACCTTCTTCCTCTGCAGGTTGATGGGCGACTGTCGCTCCCCCCCGCAGGCAGGGTACTCCTTGGGCCAGTGCTCCTCATCCAGTGGCCCCTCTGAGACAAGAGAGAGCCAAGGGGGTCGCAGCTCGAGGTGATGCCAGGTGGAGCTGGTCCCAGGGTACCTCCCCCAGGGCTCAGGCAGGATGCCAAGGTCAAGGCCAGAGGTCTGCCTTCTAGAAAGCAGAAGCAGGGCCTCAGAGGGAGGCGGGAGGGGCGTCTAAGTCAGCTGCACGCACCCTGGTGTCTGGAGCGTGGGTGCTGGCTCCGGGCTCTGCTGTTGCAACCCCCTGCCCAGGGACCACGACGGGGCGTTTGGAAACGATCAATGTCTTGACCACAGAGCTCCAGTCTGAATGACTCTTCCCTTTGGGTGACTGTCAGCTGACAAAGGTACCAGGGGCTCCTTGGGCTCGGCGCCACTGTGCTGCTTTCAAGGGCACGGTGTCCCTCCCAGCCCCCAACAGTGACATGCTCCCCGCCAATAACGGCAGGACACCCCACCTATCTCCTCGCTCCAGCCCCTTCCAACTGGTTCCCAGGAAAGACCCCTGGGTGCCTACACCTATGGATTCAGGGCAAGAGAGGAAGCGCCAGGTCCCAACATGAGCGAATGATGAGTGTGAAAAACATCAAAGTAAGGACAGTCATCTTCCTTACTAACCACAGTGGGGAGGGGGCGGCCTGCAGACCACCACGGGGCCTGGGCTCAGCCCCCCTCCCCCCGCAACGGGGATCCAGGCTCTGCCTCCCCCTGGGGCGCAGCTGCAAGGCAAGGGCTCAGCTCGTTCTAAGGAAGACGTGTTTGTATTGGGGCGTCCTGGGGTGGCTTGGTTTTGCCATAGAAAAGTCAGTTCTGCTCTCCTCTGATATACAAACCAGTTCTTAATTCTTTCCTAGAGGCAGATGCTAGGGTCAAGGCCAAACTTCTTGAGCACAGTCAGGATCAAAAGGCTTTGCCAGTGTCAGGGCGTGGGTGGGCGTGGAGTATCCCCGGAGGGCCCTGCGGTAGCTGCCTCCAGGTTCTCCCAGGCCCTTGGCGACTGTCCAGGAGGCCCACAGCCCCAGAGGCCGGGCCGAGTGGGGAGGACGAGACCTGCCCTGTGGGACTGCTCCCCGGTCCCCAGCCTCCTTCCGGCGCAGCGGGCCAGCGGCCTCCGTGGGATTCCTCCGCTCCAGGGCAGAGCCCTTGGTCAGCGCCGGCTGTCCCACCCCCGGAGCTGGACTTTCTGAGCCTCCTTGCGATGCCCCTAACCCTGTTACCCTTGACTTAACGGGACATACCTCACCCTGAATGTACTTCGCCATGTGTCTGGCGTGGGCAGTGGGGGGGCCTGTGCAGAGAGGGGGCTCCACGCCGGCTTTGCTCAGGAAAGATGGGCGGCGGGGAGGCGGGTGGTCTGCACTGCCACGGCCGAAGGAGCATGCCATGGCCGAACCCCACAGATGCGGTGGTCTCCTAATTTTGGCTCACACATGGGCTCAATGCCAAGGGCTTTGATTTTACATTTAAGAGTTGGGTTTCCAAAGTGTCGCAGGTTCAATTCCCAGTCAGGTCACATACCTGGGTTGCAGGCCACAGCCCCCAGCAACCTCACATTGATGTCTCTCTCTCTCTCTCTCCCTCCCTTCCCTCTCTAAAAATAAATTAATAAAATCTTAAAAAAAAAAGAGAGAGTTGGGTTTTGGCAAGGTGTGGATTCCAGGGTCAGCGGGGTCATGGCACCCGAGGGAGGGCAGCTGGAGTCTACCGAAAAGTCCCGGGTTCCCGGCCCGTTGTGACGTTCTGGGTGAACCACACGCTAGGAAACCGCCGAGAGAAATGCTCCCCCAAACCCCGCACGCCCTCTGCGAGCTGTATTTTCCACGCACAGACCGAGAGAGCGAGGGACTTGGCCGTCAGAAGCCGCGAGCGGCCCCCCCGCCAGCTCCGTGGGCAGAAGAGGCGTCAGAGCAGAAGAGCGGCAGGTGAGTCCGGGATCTGGGCACAGCCAGGTCCTCTCTTCCTTAACGGAGTTTGGGTTCCGTGGGACGGACGTCCGCACACCCGGGACGTGGAGCGGTGCCGGGCAGACCCCGGCCCAGGGACGGCACGCAGCTGTGCGTGGTCGGCCTCTCTTCACCGTGGCCCTCAGAAGGGCACCCTGCAGCACCCTGGGGCGGGGGGGGCTTACCTGAGTACGTCCACTCGGACCCGTGCTGGGCCAGGGCTCCCGCGAAGAGCAGAGACATCAGTGCCACCGGAGCCATCCTGGTGCCGCCGCTCTGGGACCGGGACCGATCCAGGGAGCTCTGTCGTTAGAAGCTCAGTCACTAACTGTAAGCCCCAACGGGCCGAGCCGGGCAGGTTGATCCTCCCTCGGCCGCACCCTCGGAAACAATAACACCTCCCCACAATGGCCCTACTGACTCCATTTATAGGGCGAGACGGGGCGCACGGGCCTGACCACCTCCTGACCTCCTCCGTGTCATTGCCGTGTCCAGTGAGCCCATTGGCTTGGCTGCCCCGTGCCCTGTCTTGTGAGATCTCACCTGAAGGGCCACGCAGCACACAGGGCCGCCTTTGTGGACGGGGAGCTTCGGGGAGAGGAAAGGCCTCAGGCACAGAGAGGCGGGCGGGAGGCCCCCCCCCCCCCCCCGCACAGGGGCACACCCCGCACCCTCGCTCCCGTGAGCCACTCCCTGAGGTCTGGCGGGGGGCGGGGGGCCTCGCCAGGGCCCGAAAACCCTTGCGAGATCCCACCTAGTATTTTCTGTCTGTCCCAGCAATTGTCGCCAGCTACCACTGCAGACCTCTGCCAGGCACCTTGGGAAATGGCCTGCCCCTGCGCCCCCCCTGCCCCCTACCCCCCACCATGTGGGCATGGGAAGGAGACTCCTCCCCGGAGGCAGGTGCTCTTAACCTCACCCCAAATTCAGCGTCTCACCCCGAGACCCCAGCTCAGGAGCCCCGTCCCAAGACGTGCGTCCAGGCCATTGAACTGGCGTGTGCGCCCATGTTCCCCCAGGAAGTACACGTGTCCCCACAGCTGTGGTGAGCTCCATCGAGCCCAGCCGATCAAACAGGGCACATCAGTGGACTGTCTAATCCTCCGGTGTCACTTGGGTCAACAAGCCCTCACACTGAGCTGAGGGAGAAGCTTTTGAGTTGATACCTGCTGACAGGCTAGCATTTCACATGACCTTCAGAGAGGGCACGGGCCAAGGGCAGCAGCGTCCCTGGAGGGTGCCTGCCCCCCTGGCCAGACACAAAGGGCTGTCCCGCTCAGGGGAGCAGAGCTAAGCCCCCAGCCGCATTTACGTCCCGGGGTCAGAGGGACGCTGGCGTGGTCACGTGGCTGTGGATTCAGCATGGTGCAGGGCAAGGATTCTGAAGCCAGGCTGACCATGTTCAGGCCCCTGCTCTGCCACTTCCGAGCTGTGTGACTTCCGGCCAGTTGCTCAGCCACTCTGTGCCTCCGTTTTCCCATCTTTAACAGGGTTTGGGGAGGTGCCGCCCCCCTGGGGGTTAACAGCAAATCCGTGTGTTGTACTCAGAACAGCGACGTGGCAAATGGCATTTCCATCCCTTCAGCCCCCTCATTCTGTGGAGAAAGGATGAGCCTTATCATTGTCACCCAGCCTGTTAGTGAGGGAACTGGAGGCAGAAAGGAAGAACTCCTCCAACTCGTGGAGCACTTTTCTCCATTTTCCGCCGTTAGAAACCCACTCTGCCACCTTTGCCAGTAAGCCACACCCGGCCTGCTGGGCCTGGCCCTGCCGGAGGGCCACCCTGTCTGCAGATGCCGTGAGTGTCCCACCGCTGCTGAGGACAGCAGGGATGGGCCGTGACCTTTAGGCAGGCCAAGGACCAATGACATCCAGCTGGCAGGAAACACAAGCTGAGCCATCTGAATTTTTTTTGGGGGGGCGGCCCGGGGACACAATTAGGGAGCTGGGCCTGCAAGGTCAGGACGTGGTGGAAGTCGGGAGGTTCAGATCTGCTGAGGCGGAAGGAGGCCGGAGTGACGAGGAGCCCCCAGCCAGCAAGCGCGGGTGGGCCAAGCTGTATGGAGCAGAGGAAGGAGGGGCCGTGGCAGTGAGCGGGCGCGGGAAGAGATGCTCAGAGGGGGCCCCAGGAGCAGGACCCCCGCGTGCCCGTGCTGGGGAGATGGGGCGTGTCCCACGTCCGATGGCTCTCTGCCTCCGTTCCCCACGGCACACTGCCGTCCTGCGGCCACGCTCTGGGAAACCCAGGGAGCCCCGGTGCCTTCGTTGTCCCACTGCGTCCTCACAGTAAGTGCACGGGTCCCTCTGTGGCCCTGACATTTTGGCAGCCCCATCACGGAGCCCCACTGCAACACATTCGAGCACCAGGCCCAAGGCCGTGCTTGGGGTTCTCCGTGTCCTCGGCTCAGGCAAGAGCCTGAGCCGGCTGGCGGCCTGTGCAGCTGGCTGATGTTGGAAACAGGTAGGTGGTTAGGGTGAGTCATTAAGTTAATTAAGCCATCAGACCGGCCAGGCCCATAAAGCATAAGACCCATCTCGAATGAGGAAATGCGGCTGGAGAAAGAGGGTCTCCCCTCTGCTGGGCAGCATTCTCCAGTGACGTGACCCCCAGGGTCGGGTCTGGTCGCTTTGGTTGCCCACTTTCTAACTCACCGTCTTCTTCGACCCTAAAACTTCCCATCGGCTTAGAACATGAGTTTCCGGGTACTTGTGAAGCGCATTGTTTGTTTCGGTTTGGGGGTTTTGTCTCATTTTTTTTAGAGTGCCACATTAGACTTTCCTCTGCCTTCATCTGACCACACCTCCAGCCTGTCGAGGTTGCATCTCAGTTTAAAGTCCTGTTTTCTTCCAGGGCCCAGTGTGAGGGGCTATCTGTGAGACGGGCTGACAGGCATGCCATTTTCACCACGACGTAATGTCACGAACGAGAAAGGAGCTTTTGTTCTTCCTCGGGGCCACCGCAGCTCCCTGATGGAGGCCCATGGAGGCAAAGCAAAGACAAGGGCAGGGTGCCGTGGCCAGCCCAGGTGAGCAGAGAAGCACTCTCAGCCAAGATAAATCAGGGAAGCACTGCCAGCCCAGGGGAGCAGGGCGGGGGTGACCAGCCCAGGTAAACAGGGAGGGGTGACCAGTCCAGGTGAGCCAGGAGGAGTTATCATCCCAGGTGAGCAGGGAGGCACCATCAGCCCAGGTGAGCTGATGCTCAGGCTCGCCCAGGACTGGCATAGAGGAGGAATATGGCGACAGAAGGATATGGACGTTTCAGCTACAAAGAATAGCAGACAGGACCTCATTCTGTTTCATTCAGGCCTTTCTGCTCCGGGGTCACGAAGAATGAGTCATTCCAGACAAGCGAGTTTTCCAGATGGTTAAAGGCTCAATGGGATATAAGCAGCAAGACATGCGGTCCATTTCGATTAAAACTTCTAAAACATATCACACTCTTCCCTGCTTTCTTAAAAAAGATAAAGCTGAATGTAATTAAACTTTTCCTAATGACTCAGGCCTGTTAACATGAAAGTTCGTTATTATCCTGCATTGTAATATATCAATGCCCGCAGGGCCTGCAACTGTATATGGCTGTTCTCACCCCATGAAACGGCCCCTAACTGATAAACTGATATATATTTTTTATTTCTCACATCTGAAATTGCGGGAGGGGGACATTAACTAGCTTCCTCAGTTAGTAAAGCAACGTTCACCTAGGTTCCTGTGTGATATCCAAATTGATCAGTCAGGACAGAAGGAAGACTCAGCGCTGGGGTGGGGCCCAGAAGCCCCCCCATGCTGCTGGGCATTAACCCTTTAGATGGTGGACTGCAGGGAAGCGGGGAGACCCTGGGCAGGGCTGGGCAGTGGCGGCGCCCGGAGACACCAGCTGTTGGTTTCCCATAGCTCGCATGGCTGCCACGGGCTGCCCACTCTCGCCACGTAGGGTTGTCTGTTTCCTCCCCTCCTCTCCTGGCTTCTGATTCGCTCTATTATCTGTTTGGCCAGAAATCAGACAACTGCACTTTTTAGAACTATGTGCACGAGAAGAATGGACGGAGCTGACACCGAGGGCTCAGAGGCTGCACGAGAACCAAAGCACCGGAGCGAGGGCGGCAGTGTGGCAACGTGAGAAGACTTCCTGGCCTCTCCCCTTGAAGTCACAACAAGCTGGACACCTGCAGTTCAACCAAGAGCTCCCTGCTCAGCACACACACTCGTCTGGGAGATCTGTGCATCAGGGAGGTGGGTGTATGGGAGTGACCGAGGGTGAGAGGGCGGGGAAGGGCAGAGACGGGAGGCCCAGGCAGGGCCCGGATGAGCAGAGGCGGTAGCGGTGGAGTGTGGGCTTGCAGCCCCCCCTACTCAGCAGCCCAGAGAGAACCAGAGGGCCCGAGGCAGCACGGCAGCCTGGGTGGCCCGTGCACATCATGGCGGGGCGCAGTGACGGGAGCAAGATGCAGTTCAAAGGTGCGGCAGCTGTGGGTGCATGGGGGAGCTGGGTCACAGCCCTCAGTCGGCAGGTTGCAAAGGGGCAGAAGCCCCATTCTAGCTTGAGCGGCCCGTACACATTTAGCCTAAACGCAGTGGAATAAAGAAAGTCACAGGTGCGAGAGCCCGCCTCTCACCTCCCACCCATTGCACAGAACCCAAGAGAGGGACCTGGGACACCTCAGATAGCTCAGCACGGCTGGCGGCACCTGGTTGCAGGGAAGCAGTGCTGGAACACACAGGCTCAGAGCCCCTTGGCCCCTCACAGCCCACCAAGGGGGTTGTGCCCTGAGAGCCAGGTAACCCTGCCAGAGAGAACTCCTGACTCTTTGGGGAATATGGGGCAATTTCTACAGCCGAGGCAATACCGCCCCACTGAGGTCCCCGCAGCCCCAGGGGGGCTAGTAAGGGACAACAAAAACTTGCTCTATACCACCATCTACTGGAGAACAAGAGAAGGACCTCTGCTTACCTCTCCTCACCAACCTGCTACATTGTTAAAAGCAAAAAAACAATACTTAAAGGGGAAGATTTCAATCCTTCAAATGACCAGGCAGATATAGAGCCTATCAAATACCACAACTAACCATGATCATAAGGTAGCTCAGAAAGAAACCCAAAGGTCCCCAGGAAATAAACTCAACAACATGACAGATTGTGACTTAAATGACAGAGAATTCAAGGTTGCTGCTCTGAAAAAAGTCGGTGAGGCACAAGAAAACTCAGAAAGGCAGTTCAGTGGTCTCAGGGATAAAAAGCAACCGACAGAAGAGTACTTTCCC